CTCCACCTCCTGGGTTCAAGCAATTCTCCTGCCTCAGCCTCCCAAGTAGCTGGGATTACAGGTGCCAGCCACCATGCCCAGCTAATTTTTTTGTATCTTTAACAGAGATGGGGTTTCACTATATTGGCTAGGCTGGTCTCGAACTCCTGACTTCAAGTGATTCATCCAACTCAAACTCCCAAAGTGTTGGGATTACAGGTGTGAGCCACCCTGCCTGACTGGGTGTTAGTCTTCATGCTAGGAACTAATTACTTAGATAACAGTTGCTAACCGGGGTGGGGGGTGGTCACTGAGGCTAAGATGAAGACGCGCACTCCAGAGTAAAGTCCCAGCCAGGCAGAGTTCCCAGATGGCTACTTTGGGCTGCTGTGGGGTCTCTCTTCCCCAAACTACTCCTCCGGCACTGACTGGGGTTCAGGTCCTGCAGGAACTACACACAGGGATTTCCACGTGATCAGTGCGGATAATTCTGGAGCAGACCCAAAAGGACAAACTCCCCCTTTTCAGGCTGTGATTCCGGCCTCAAACTACTCAGAGTGCCTCTTGGAGTGAGACCAGCAATGTTTTAAAAGGACCGTGGGTTGAGCATGGTGGCTCATACCTGTAATCCCAGCACTTTGGGAGGCCGAGGTGGGCAAATCACTTGAGGTTAGGAGTTCGAGACCAACCTGGCCAATATGGTGAAACCCCATCTCTACTGAAAAAAAAAAATTAGCCGGGTGTGGTGGGGCATGCCTGTAATTCCAGCTACTCAGGAGGCTGAGGCATGAGAATCGCTTGCATCTGGGAGGCAGAAGTCACAGTGAGCCAAAATTGTGCCACTGACCTCCAGAATGGGCAACAAAGTGAGACCCTGTCTCACACAAGCAAACAACAACACCACCAAAACAAAGAAAAGGGCCGTGGACACCAAAGGCACAGTCTGATTGGTAAGTTTCACCGGAGCAGCAGTTCTCAAGCAGGTATGATTTGCCTCCTGAGGCGTTTGACAGTGTCAGGAAATACTTTCTTTCTTTCTTTTTTTTTTTTTGAGACAGAGTTTTGCTCTTGTTGCTCAGGCTGGAGTGCAATGGTGCGGTCTCAGCTCACTGCAACCTCTGTCTCCCAGTTCAAGCAATTCTCCTGTTTCAGCCTCCTGAATAGCTGGGATTATAGGCTTCAAGCTAATTTTTGTATTTTTGGTAGAGATGGGGTTTCGCCATGTTGGCCATGCTGGTCTTGAACTCCTGATCTCAAGTGATTCACCTGCCTCGGCCTCTCAGTGTTGGTATTACAGGAATGAGACACCACCCCCAGCCAGGAAAGACTTTTGATTGTCCCAATTGGAGTGAGAGGGGTTGCTATTGGCATTGGGTGGGTCTAAAGGCCAGGGATGCCAGTCAACATCCTACAATGCATAGGAGAGGCCCCCATGATAGAAAATGATTGGGTCCCAAATAGGTCCACGGCATTGAGTCTGTGAAACCTGCCTACCAGCAGCAAAGAGCAAAGTAATGGCATACGAATCACTCTGTGTTCTCGTCCAAATACAGATTCTGTTTCAGTCCATCTGGGATAGGACCTGTGATTTGGTATTAAAAGTTCCAAGGTGGGCCAGGTGCAGTGGTTCATACCTGTAATCCCAGCACTTTGGGAGGTCGAGGTGGGAGAATCACTTGATCTCGGGATTTTGAGACCAGCCTGGGCAGCATGGTGAAATGCTGTCTCTACAAAAAAAACTAGCTGTGTGTGGTGGCACACGCCTGTAGTCCCAGCTACTTGGGAGGCTGAGGTGGGAAGATCACTTAAGACTGGGAGACAGAGGGTACAGCAAGCTGAGATTGCACCACTGCAGTCCGGCCTGGGTGACAGAGCCAGGCCCTTTCATCATCATCATCAAACAATCCCAGGTGGGCTAGCCATGGTGGCTCATGCCTGTAATCACAGCACTTTCGGAGGCTGAGGTGGGAGGATACCTTGAGCTCAGGAGTTTGAGACCAGCCTGGGCAACATAGCAAGACCCTGTCTCTATAAACAAACAAACGAAATTAAACATTAGCAGGGTGTAGTTACATATGCCTGTGGTCCCAGCTACTTGGGAGGCTGAGGTAGGAGGATTGCTTGAGCCCAGAATTCCAAGGCTGCAGTGAGTTATGATCACACCACTGAACTCCAGCCTGGACGAGAGAGAGAGAGAGATAGACAGAGAGACACAGAGAGAGAGAGAGAGACAGACAGAGAGAGAGAGAGAGAGAGAGCGAGAGAGAGAGAGAGAGAGAGGGAGGCAGAGACAGAGACAGAGAGATGGAGATCCTGTCTTTAAAATAAAAATAATTTTTTTAAAAGTTCCCAGGCGACAGGCTGGGTGTGGTGGCTCACACCTGTAATCCCAGCACCTTGGGAGGCCAAGACGGGAAGATCACCTGAGGAGGTCAGGAGTTCGAGACCAGCCTGGCCAACATGGTGAAACCCTGTTTCTACTAAAAATACAAAAATTAGCAGGGTGTGGTGGTGGGCACCTGTAATCCCAGCTACTTGGAAGGCTGAGGCAGGAGAATTGCTTCAATCCGGGAGATAGAAGTTGCAGTGAACTATGATTGCACCACTGCACTCCAGACAAAGGCAATGCTAAGTCAGTGGGTCACATAAGACACATGAGATCTTGGATGACCCCAAATCAGAGTTTAAAGACTCAGGATTTTTCTGAGAAGCAAAGCAAAAGCAGGAATAGAAACAAATGGAGAATGATAAGGAACCAGCGATCACAGTAAGAAGTGCATGGTTCAGCTCAGCCTGGGGCTGGTTCAAGCAAAGGAACCCAAGAGCAGGCTCCCGGCACCTGCTCTGTGCAGCCTTGGTTCTGGATCTCCGGCTTAATTCCTCCAACTTTCAACCTTCTACCTGCCCCTTGAATCTGATGCCTAAGAAAGACTAAGCAAACCTCATCCCCCACAGAAGAGAACACGATGCCAGGAAAAAGAGGGAGTCACCTGCTGTCTCAAATTAAGGACTTCCACACACTGACATTGTTGGTGTACTGAAGATTTGGCAAAGGCTGGGTGCGGTGGCTCACACCTGTAATTCCAGCACTTTGGGAGGCTGAGGCAGGAGGAGTCATCCAATTTGGAGTCATCCAAGGTGTCGTGTGTCCATGTGACCCACTAACTGAGAGCATCACCTCATCTGGGAACTTCTTTTTTTTTTTTTTTTGAGATGGAGTCTCACTCTGACACCCAGGCTGGAGTGCAGTGGTGCGACCACAGCTCACTGCAACCTCCATCTCCTGGGTTCAAGTGATTCTCCTGCCTCAGCGTCCTGAGTAGCTGGGATTATAGGCGCCCACCAGCACACCCAGCTAATGGCTTGGGTCCAGGAGTTTGGAAGCAGCCTGGGCAATATAGTGAGACTTTGTCTCTACAAAAATAAGTTAAAAAATTAGTTAAGCATGGCAATGCACATCTGTAGACCCAGCTACTTGGGAGAAGGAGATGGGTGGATTGCTTGAGCCCAGGAGGCAGAGGCTGCAGTGAGCTGAGATCACACCATTGCACTCCAGCCTGGGCAACAGAGTGAGATCCTGTCTCAAATTAAAAAAAAAAGAAAAAGAAAAGAAAGAAAGAAAAAGGTTTTGCAAAAAGCTCATGTCAGCCTCTGCTGAGGACAGCTCATGGTCACAGAGCTGGATGGGGATTGCCTAACAGAGGAAAAGCTCAAAGAGGAACATCCTTGACACCAGGAGGCACCAACAGCCACCTCCAGCCCCATAGCCAGCAATGACAGTCCAGAAAGAGGGGGAAAGGAGAAAGAAGGAAAATACCCACGTCTGGAGCAGGTAAAGGCAACAAATGCAAATCAGGTTGCTCAGAGGCGCTTGCCCCAGGTGTGGAGATGCTGCTCTCACGGCACGGTCTAAGCCCATCCCACGATCTGTTTGCCTGTCTCATTCACCCATTGCTTCTCACCTGGAGGCAATTCTGCCCCCCAGGAGACTTTTAGCCATATCTGGAGACATTTTTGGTTGTTGCAACTGGAGGCAGGAGGGTGGAGGCCAGGGATGCTACTAAATATCCCACAGTGCTCAGGACAGCCCCTTAGAACAATTACCTGGCCCCACATGCCGGCAGTGCCGCAAAGTGGCCCCAGTCCCGCCAGCCGCTGACTGCAGATCGGACTCTTGCTGCAAACAGCGCACACGTCTTTGCTACATGCATCGCCACTCCTCCTCAAGTGGAGCTCATTTGCAAAAAGACCGAGTTCTAAATCCCAGCAACGACCTGAGCCATCTCTTTCTGGGAGTCTCTTGAATCTGGTACTCTTTCTTGAGTAGAAACCCTTCGACTCGCAACCCTGCAACCACCAAGGGCCCCAAGAAGCAGAAAACTGGCTTGCTATGGATAAAGTTGTATCCCCACCACCACCAAATTCATATGTTGCAATCCTACTCCCCCACTTCTGTCCTTTAGGATGTGACCTTATTTGTAAACTGAATCTTTGCGGATGTAAATAAGCTAAGATGAGGCCACACGAGTCTGGTGAGCCCCAATCCAATATGACTGGTATCCTCATAGAAGAGGGAAATTGGGACCCAGGGCCATGTGAGGCTAAGGGATGACCAGAAGCCAAGAGAGATGCCTGGAATGGATCATTTCCTGGCACCTGCCTATGGAGCTCAGCCCTTGATCTCAGACTTTCATCCTCCAGAGCTGCAGGGCAATCTATCTCTGATGGTTAAGCCACCTGGTACGTGGTGCTTTGTCATGACACTGCAGGAGGATTCTCAAGTCCAGACACTGCAGGAGGATTCCCGCAATGGCAAAAGAGACCGTTGCCCGTTCTGAGTTACCCCAAGAGCCCCTGTGCCCAGGGACACATCCCTGGTTCTCTCCAGGGAGCCGCCCAGCAGAGGGTGAAACAGAACGAGGATGCAGACATGAAAAGAGGCCAGAGGAGTATGATTGAGAGGACATGAAGAAGAGAAAGTGGCTGCCATCCAGGACGATGGATTGGGCCGCCAGACTTACCTGAGCTCAGGAAGGGTTTGCCACACAGGGGGCAGCTGGAGGGGCCGGAGAAGGTCCCTTGTACCAGCTGGTGCCCATTGACACACTCCCGCCTCTCTCGGGCATCCTGGCCCTTCTCCTTTAGATGTGCTGGGCTTTTCGCCTGGATGGGACAGAGGTGGGTCTCAGGATGCTAGGATGCCCTCTGCAGGGGCCGGCCCTCTCTCTCTCTCTCTTTTTTTTTTAAGATCAAGCTGGGGCCGGGCACAGTGGCTCAAGCCTGTAATCCCAGCACTTTGGGAGGCTGAGGCAGGTGGATCACGAGGTCAAGAGATCAAGACCATCCTGGTCAACATGGTGAACCCCGTCTCTACTAAATTTACAAAATTTACTAAAATTACAAAAATTAGCTGGGCATGGTGGTGCGTGCCTGTAATCCCAGCTACTCAGGAGGCTGAGGCAGGAGAATTGCCTGAACCCAGGAGGCGGAGGTTGCGGTGAGCCGAGATCGTGCCATTGCACTCCAGCCTGGGTAACAAGAGTGAAACTCCATCTCAAAAAATAAATAAATAAATAAAATCAAGCTGGAGTGCAGTGGCACAATCTTGGCTCACTGCAATCTCTGCCTCCTGGGTTCAAGCCATTCTCCTGCCTCAGCCTCTCAAGTAACTGAGATTACAGATGCCCACCACCACGCCCATCTAATTTTTGTATTTTTAGTAGAAACAGAGTTTCACTATATTGGCCAGGCTGGTCTCGAACTCCTGACCTCAGGTGAACCACCTGCCTTAGACTCCCAAAGTGCTGGGATTACAGGCGTGAACCACTGCTCCTGGCTGGGGCTGGCCCTCTTAGGTATGGGGCCCTCGGCCCACCGCCAGCTCCAATCACAGGGCTCCTGGGCTAAGGGCAGTGTGCCAAGCTGGGGAAGGCACAGGGGGCCCCCATGGCTCAGCTTCCCTCACCTTCTCCTTCTGCCTGGTCACTCGACTGCGGAGGCAGCTCAGCCTGCGCTTCACACTGGTACTCTTGTCACTCTTCTCATTCTTGCCAGCACTGTCCTCACTCCTGGGGGATGAGAGGGAAGGTCCATCAGAGGGGGCCAGGGGCCATTCTGAGGCAACCCTGTGCATTACTCCAGGAATCCACCTGGAATCTGTCTCCCTGAGGCCTCCTGGTCCTGCCTTACCCTTCCTTAGTCCTTGACTTCCTCCTCTCCTCCCTCCTTCCCTCTCTTACTTATTGTGGGAAGCAGAAAAAGTTTCTTCTTAACGTTTCCTTTCTTGTTAAAAATAAGTGTGCTAATAACTTCGTGAAGCCCTGTCCTATGTAGCTGTTAGACATGCCATGCTCATAGGCACATAGGACATTCTATGTCCTTGTAGTTTAACCAAAATATCTGTGCTGGACATGCTCACAGGCATGTCCCAGCCCTCCATTGTTTTACCTGTTAGAAAAGTTTTAAGTTGTTAGCCAGTAGGGTTTTACTTTAAATGGTGAGGTCTGGCTCCAGCCAACAGAAATCAGGCACAGCGGTAAGGACAACCCCAAATGCGTAAGGAATAAATGTGTGTGTTTTCCTTTGTTCATTGTACTCTTGTGGCAAAGTGGTTAGCGAGGGTACCCTCCCTACAGTCCAGGAAGTAAAAATTGCATTGCTGAAAAATCCTTTGTTCAGTGCTACTTTTTCTTCTTTTCTTTTGAGATGGAGTTTTTGCTCTTGTTGCCCAGGCTGGAGTGCCATGGCACAATCACGGCTCACTATAATCTCTGCCTCCTGGGTTCAAGCAATTCTCCTGCCTCAGCCTCCCGAGTAGCTGGGATTACAGGCATGTGCCACAATGCCCAGCTAATTTTTCTGTATTTTTAGTAGAGACGGGGTTTCTCCGTGTTGGGCAGGCTGGTCTCAAACTCCTGACCTCAGGTGATCCGCCCGCCTTGGCCTCCCAAAGTGCGGGGATTATAGGCACAAGCTGCCGTACCCAGCCTCAGTGCTAACTTTTCCTTGTGGCACCGAGCATCTATTTCCAACACTTATTCACTCAGCAAACATGAATGAATGTTTGCAAAGTTCTGGGAGCGTTGGGGACTGGGTTTGCAGAGGGAAATGCAACATGATCTCAGGTTTAGGTCCCTCCATGCCTGACCTGGGAAGCTCGGCTCTGCTCACTGCTGATTTTCCCCTCTAATTCATGTCCCGACCCTCAACTGGTATCTAATCAGCATTTATTTATGTATTTAGTTAGTTATTTTGAGACAGAGTCTCACTCTGTCACCCAGGCTGGAGTGCAGCAGTGCAACCTCCGCCTCCTGGGTTCAAGTGATTCTCATGCCTCAGCCTCCCAGGTAGCTGGGACTATAGGTGTGTGCCACTGTGCCCAGCTAACTTTTTTTTTTTTTTTTTTGTATTTTTAGTAGAGACAGGGTTTCACCATGTTGGCCAGGCTGGTCTTGAACTCCTGACATCAGGTGATCTATTCACCTCAGCCTCCCAAAGTGCTGGGATTGCAGGCATGAGCCACTGCACCTGGCCCTAATTGGTTTTTAAATCCTGATGATTCTTCTCTCTCCTCCCCCAACCCCAACTCCATCCCCAGGTCACTGGCATGGCTTCCTGGATTTCAGGCACACCCTCATTTAATAAATATTAGGTCAGTGACATTTCCTGCTATGGTAGGATCTATTTCCTGGGTGGAGATGCCATTCCTCCAGTCTATGCCCCCTGATCCCAGTCTGAGTGGCTTCTGGAACTTTATAAATATCTGTGTTTGTTGAATGAATGAGTGAGTGAGAGAGGGAGGGAGGAAAGGAAGGAGAGAGACGGATCCCAGGACCTCCAGTGCTGCCTGTGGCCTTTATCCTGCCCCATCTATCACCAGGACTGATGATGCCAGAAGACCCCGCTTTTTTTTTTTCAAGACAGAGTTTCACTCTGTTACCCAGGCTGGAGTGCAGTGCACAAACTTGGCTCACTGCAACCTTTGCCTCTAAGGTTCAAGTGACGCGCCTGCCTCAGTCTCCTGAGTAACTGGGATTACAGGCACCTGCCACCATACCTGGCTAATTTTTGTATTTTAAGTAGAGATTGGGTTTCACCATGTTGGCCAGGATGGTCATGAATTCCTGACCTTAGACAATCCTGCCCCACTGCCCACGGTCTCCCAAAGTGCTGGGATTATAAGCATGAACCACCATACCCGGCCCCCACTGCTCTTCAGGATAAAGTCTGAGCTCCTTTGTGTCTCTGAGGTGGTCTGGTCTCTGCTGATTTCTCCCCTCTTCCTTCCCCCCAGCCCCACTCTGATGTCATTCTCTAAGCTTTCTACTTCCGTTTTGTTTCCTTCATCCTCATCTGCACATACTGACAAACTCCTACTATTCTGTCAGAACCCTGATTACATTGTCACCTCCTCCAGGAAGTCTTCCTCTGTCCTCTCAAGGTATATGAGAGCCTCACTCCTCCCTTCCCTGCCAGCTCCCACCATTGCCTTGATGAGGGCTCCTGCTCCTGCCCCCAGCAAGGGGGCCTGGCCCAGAGAGGACACTCCATAAACATTTGTTGGAATCCAAGGCTGCCCTCCCCTGCAGTTCCCACTTGCAGCAGGTCTGTGTACTTACTCCGACAGGAACTCAAACCAGGTCAGGCTCGAGTGGGCTTCACCGGGGCTGGCTGACATGCAAGCCCTCTGCCGGGCCCTGTGGGATCGGAGGGGACAGACACCTGGGTCGGCAGCCTGCTCTCCCACTCACTAACCCAGTGCTGCTAACTACAGACGTGCTCCAGGTGCCCCATCGAAGGCCCCCCCCCCCCCCCCGTCCTTGACACTCTGGGCTTGCGTATGGGGCATTATGACAGGTTTTCCAGCAGAGGGCAGTAACGTGTGTCGGCTGAACAAAATCAGTGTATCAGGAAGTTTTGTTTTTGTTTTTTTTGAATAGAGACGGGGTCTCGTTCTGGTGCCCAGGCTGGAATGCAGCAGTGCAATCATAGCTCACTGCAGCCTCGACCTCTTGGGCTCGAGCGATCCTCTTGCCTCAGTCTCCTGAGTAGCTGGGACTATAGGCAGGTGCCACCATGCCTGGCTAATTTTTATTTTTATTTTATTTTATATTTATTTATTTTGAGATGGAGTTTCGCTCTTACTGCCCAGGCTGGAGTGCAATGGTGCAATCTCAGCTCACCACATCCCCCACCTCCTGGGTTCAAGTGTTTCTCCTGCTTCAGCCTTCCAAGTATCTGGGATTATAGGCATGCACCACCAGGTCTGGCTCCTTTTTCTTTTCTTTTCTTTCTTTTTTTTTTTTTTTTAACTAATTACTTAAATCTTACACAATTTCTTTCCTTCTCTCTCTCTCTCTCTCATTCTTTCTTTCTTTTTTTTGAGATGGAGTCTCATTCTGTTGTCTGGGCTGGAGTGCAGTGGCATGATGTCGCTCACTGCAACCTCCACCTCCCAAGTTTAAGCGAGTCTCCTGCCTCAGTCTCCCGAGTAGCTGGATTACAGCACCCGCCATTACACCCAGCTAATTTTTTGTATTTTTGGTAGATATGGGGGTTTCACCAAGTTGGCCAGGCTGGTCTCGAATGCCTGACCTTGTGATTCACCTGCCTCAGCCTCCCAAAGTGCTGGGATTACAGACATGAGAGCTACCATGCCCGGCCGCAAACTGTCGTTGTTGTTATTTTTATTAATTTAAATTTAAAAATATTAATTAAAAAAATACAGGGTCTTGCTCTGTCACCTAGGCGGGTGTGCAGTGGCATGATCATGGCTCATGGCAGCCTTCACTGCCTGGGTTCAAGCCATTCTCCTGTGGAAAACCCCATCACCTCCCAGAGTAGCTGGGACTACAGATATGTGCCACAATGCCCAGCTAATTAAAAACAAATTTATAGAGACAGAGTCTCACTCTGTTGCCCAGGCTGGTCTCAAACTCCTGCTCAAACAATCCTCCCACCTCAGCCTCCCAAACTTCTGGGATTGCAGGCATGAGCCACCTCACCCAGCAAATTTTTAATTATTGTTTGTAGAGATAGATCTTGCTGTGTTTCCCAAGATGGTCTCAAACTCCCGGCCTCCAAATGATGCTCCCACCTTGGCCTCCCAAAGTGTTGGGATTACAGTGGTGTGAGCCACTGCACCTGGCTACAGGAAGAGTTTGTAACAGATGGCAGTGTCCTAGGCAGGTGGCACCTTTATCTGTTTGCTCCAAGGGACCCCTGGGTCAGTGGGAGCCTGCTCCTCTCCAGCTCTTGTCTTTTGTCCTCCTCCCTCATCTCGTGCCCCATTTTCCTTCCCTTAAACCCAGCATTCTCTGTTTTCTTTTCTTTTCTTTTTTTTTTTTTTTTTGAGACAGTCTCACTGTGTTGCCCGGGCTAGAGTGCAATGGCGTGATCTTGGCTCATCACAACCTCCGCCTTCTGGGTTCAAGAGATTCTCCTGCCTCAGCCTCCCGAGTAGCTGAATTATAGGCACGTGCCACCATGCCCCGTTAATTTTTGTATTTTTAGTAGAGACAAGATTTCTCCATGTTGGTCAGTCTGGTCTCGAACTCCCAACCTCAGGTGATCCACCCACCTCGGCCCCTCAAAGTGCTGGGATTACAGGCATGAGCCACCGCACCTGGCCTTTTTTTTCTTTCTTTCTTTTTCTTTTTTTTTTTTTGAGACAGAGTCTTGCTGTGTTGCCCAGGCTGGAGTGCAATGGTGCAATCTCGGCTCACTGCAACCTCTGCCTCCTGGGTTCAAGCGATTCTCCTCCCTCAGCCTCCCGAGTACCTGGGATTACAGGTGCCTGCCACCATACCCAGCTAGTTTTTATATTTTTAGTAGAGATGGGGGTTTCACCATGTTGGTCAGGCTGGTCTCGAACTCCTGGCCTCAGGTGAGCCACCGTGCCTGGCCCTCACCCAGTCTTCTCTACCCCTGTCTCCCACATAGGTGCATGCCCCTGCCTGCCTCCTGCTCTCATCTCCCACTTTGTTCCCCTCTTCCCTCACGCCTGTCCCGACTCCCACTTACCCATGGTACTGTCGAAGTTCTTGAAGCACCTGCTGGACAATCAGCCTGTGGGGGTGGGGACAGGATTAGAGCAGCCCTCAGTGGCCCCAAGTTACAGACTCTCCCGGAGACAAGCTGGGGTTTCCCATCCAGACCTCAGGTGGCTCATGCCTATAATCTCAGCACTTTGGGAGGCGAAGGTGGGTGGATCAATTGAAGTCAGGGGTTCAAGACCAGCCTGACCAGCATGGTGAAACCCCGTCTTGACAAGACATACAAAAACTAGCTGGGCATGGTGGTGGGCGCCTGTAGTCCCAGCTACTCTGGAGACTGAGGCAGGAGAATCACTTGAACCTGGGAGGCAGAGGCTGCAGTGAGCTGAGATCACATCACTGCACACCAGCCTGGGCCACAGAGCAAAACTCTGTCTCACACACATGCCCAAAAAGTCACAATTACCTCTCAAGGCAACATTGAGAACCTTTTTGAGGGGCTTAGATCCCTCCCCCAGGGAAGACAGATGGTGTCAGAAAGAAGATGAGGTTATAGTGGACTAGTGGGATGGTATCAGTCCCTGGTCACTTACAGGCAGCACTCTGCACCTTGGCTCCCCTCCTCCCCCAGCCCTGACTGTCCAGCCTGTCCACTGGGGGTCCCTTCCCCACCACGAGGCAGAAACTCACACATGATCTGGCTCCACGTGGTCTTTTTCCATGCATTCCAGCACTGGAGGTTCTAGGCCTGGAAGAAGCCCCCGTCCCAGGAAGCACAGTTGTGAGGGGCTCTGGGACAGGACCAGCCCAGCAGGGCCCTCCCAGATACCACCCTGGGCCCCTGCAGAACTGGAGGACATGCAGACAGAGCCTGTGCTCTCAGGGAACAGAGATGAGAAGAGGACAGACAGCCAGGGACAAACGCAGGTGTCCCCAGTGTCTCGGGAGTGCTTACAAACTATAAAGTGCTTTAATGTGTGAGCTCAGCAGACTCTCTGAGTGACCTTAAGGAGATAAACTTATTGTCCCTACTCATCTTTTTTCTTTTCTTTTCTTTTTTTTTTTTTTTTTTTGAGATGGAGTCTCACTTATTGCCCAGGCTGGAGTGCAGTGGCGTGATCTCAATTCACTGCAACCTCCACCTCCCAGGTTTAAGCAAATTCTCCTGCCTCAGCCTCCCAAGTAGCTGGGATTACAGGCACCTGTCACCACGCCCAGCTGATTTTAAAATTTTTAGTAGAGATGGGGTTTCACCATATTGGCCAGGAGTTTGAGACCATATAATTCACCATATTGTCATGCTTATAATCCCAGTACTTTGGGAGGCCGAGCAGGCAGATCACTTGAGGCCAGGAGTTCGAGACCAGCCTGGCCACATGGCAAAACCCTGTCTCTATTAAAAACACAGAAACTAGCTGGGTGTGGTAGCGATGCTTGTGGTCCCAGCTACTTGAGAGGCTGAGGCAGGAGAATTGCTTGAACCGGCGAGGTGGAGGTTGCAGTGAGCTGAGGTTGCACCACTGCACTCCAACCTGGGTGACAGAGTGAGACTCCATCTCAAAAAAAAAAAAAAATAATAGGCTGGGCGCAGTGGCTCACACCTGTAATCCCAGCACTTTAGGAGGCCGAGGCGGGCAGATCAGAGGTCAAGAGATGGAGACCATCCTGGCCAACATGGTGAAAACCAGTCTCTACCAAAAATACAAAAATTAGCTGGGTGTGGTGGCATGCACCTGTAGTCCCAGCTACTCTGGAGGCTGAGGCAGGAGAATGGCTTGAACCTGTGAGGCGGAGGTTGCAGTGAGCTGAGATGGCGCCATTGCACTCTGGCCTGGGCAACAAGCGTGAAACCCAGTCTCAAAAATCATAATGATAACAACAATAATAATAGAGAGAGGAGAGAATCTTGGGGACAAGGTCATTGCAATGGGCAGTGTCACACTGGCTCAAGGTCTGCGGGGAGAGGAGGAGGGACAGATGCTGGAGGTCCCTTCCCCTCTCTGGCTTCCCTCAGCGTTCTGCTCAGTCCCTGCAGAACAATTCCCTGGGTCCTATCTGGAGCCCCACCAAGGGGCCCGTCAGGAGGAACCCCCTCCCTGCCTCCCCTTCCCCCAACGTGGTTTGAATGAAGGACGCTCCCAGGCTGGCTACCTTGAACAGGTGGAGTGACCACTTCCAAACCCGGAGAGAGTTCCAGGGAGCGGATCTCATAGAAGGACCCAGGAACGGACCTTGACCTCATTGTTTTCTTGGGGCTGTCACATTCCTGCAGGGAATTAAACATCGCCCTTAGCTAGGAAGGCAGACTGGAATGCAAGCAGGTTCCCTAGGTTGAGGGTCCCCAGCCACAGCCAGGGCCACCTCCGGAGAAATGGACAACACACGCATCCAAGCCCCAACCTCCAGCCAACCTCCCCGGCATAGAACATGGGTTCTGCCACTCCCTCCCCAGCCACAGGGCTGTAGTCCTGATCAAGGAGCCCCCAGCTATGAGCTGGTGCCCCAAATATCAGATCCATAGGTTCCAACAATGGCCAGGAGTTTCCCCAAGGGTCATTTGTGATCACAGTCAAAGATGTCCCAGCCATCCGCCACAGCTCCAAGCATGCATCCCTCTACATTTGCACCTCAGATCTCAGGTCAGAGACAAATTCTCCCTAGCTGCAGACCCCAGCCACAGACACAGCTGCCTTCCAGCTGCAGGCCACACTCCCGGATCAGACACCCCCATCAACTTTCCTCCAGCCCCTGGGTTGTAGTCATGACCCTGCATAGCCTGCCCTAGATGCTTACCCAGAGAAAACCCTTCAGGCCTGGGCTGGAATCTTAGGACCCAGAGACGCCCGAGGCATGACCTCCGCCATAGGCAAGCAGCCCCCATCCCCCATGGCGGGTAACCCCCACTGGCCCTGGCAAGTCTCTCCTTCCTACCCATAGCAGTGGCTTCTGGGCCCAAAAGTGTGCTATTGTCAGGGTGGCTGCAGGCTATACCCACCTTGCCTGGGCTCTCTGCAGGGGTCCCACCCCCAGACAGACACCCTTGGGTCCAAGTCTTCAGTCCTCCTCCCGGCAGGTTCAAAGTGAGGCTGGCCAGTGTTCGAGGGAGACAGGGTTCTTCATCCACAGCTGAGGCATCGAGGCTGAGCCTGGTGGGAGAGGACCAGGTACTGGGGCTTCAGCAGGTCTTGTTCACCTGGCTGCTGCCCCAGGCATCCAGGGGATGGGGTTTGAGAGAACCTGTAAGGGGCCCTTCCAGGACAGGGAAGGGTGCGGAGGCCACAGAGAGGGGTCCAGACCTCTCAATATCAGAGGACTCAGTGACAAGGAGCAGGGGGAGAAGAAGGCCAACCTGGTGAGATTTGTTGGAGCTACACTTGTATCTCAGATCGTCTTTGCACAGACTGGATTTCCTCTTTCTTTCTTTCCTTCCTTTCTTTTCTTCTTTCTTTCTTTCCTTCCTTTCTTTTCTTCTTTGTTTCTTTCTCCTTCCTTCCTTCCTTCCTTCCTTCCTTCCTTCCTTCCTTCCTTCCTTCCTTCCTTCCTTCTTCCTTCCTTCCTCTCTCTCTCTGACAGAATCTTGCTCTGTCACCCAGGCTGGAGTGCAGTGGCATGATCTCAGCTCACTGCAACCTCTGCCACCCAGGTTCAAGCAATGCTCCTGCCTTAGCCTCCCAAGTAGCTGGGATTACAGGCATGTGCCACCAGGCCCAGCTAATATTTATATTTTTAGAAGAGATGGGGTTTCACCATGTTGGCTAGGCTGTTCTCGAACTCCTGACCTCAAGTGATCTAACCACTTCAGCCTCCCTAAGTGCTGTATTTATAGCTGCTCCCCATAGCTGGCATGGCCACCTGAGCTCTGCCTCCTGTCAGATGAGTGGCAGCATTAGATTCTCCAAGGAGTGGGGTCATGGTGGCTCACACCTGTAATCCCAGCATTTTGGGAGGCCGAGGCGGATGGATCACAAGGTCAAGAGATCGAGACCATCCTGGTCAACATGGTGAAACCCCGTCTCTACTAAAAATACAAAAATTAGCTGGGCACGGTGGTGTGTGCCTGTAATCCCAGCTACTCAGGAGGCTGAGGCAGGAGAATTGCCTGAACCCAGGAGGCAGAGGTTGCGGTGAGCCAAGATCGCACCATTGCACTCCAGCCTGGGTAACAAGAGCGAAACTCTGTCTCAAAAAAAAAAAAAGTTAGCTGGGTGTGCTGATGTGAGCCTGTACTCCTGACTACTTGGGAGCCTGAGACAGGAGAATTGCTTGAACCTGGGAGGCAGAGGTTGTAGTGAGCCAAGATTTCGAACTGCACTCCAGCCTGAGCCACAGAGTGAGATTCTGTCTCAAAAAAAAAAAAAAAAAAAAAACTCATAGGAGCCAAAACCCTATTGTGAACCACACATGTGAGGCATCTAGGTTGCACGCTCCTTATGAGAATCTAGGCTGGGTGCAGTGGCTCATTTCTGCAATCCCAGCAGTCTGGGAGGCCGAGGCGGGTGGACCACGAGGTCAGGAGTTTGAGACCAGCCTGACCAACATGGTGAAACCCCGTCTCTACTAACAAGACAAAAATTAGCCTGGAGTGCACACGTGTAATCCCAGCTACTCAGGAGGCTGAGGCAGGAGAATCACTTGAACTCGGGAGGTGGAGGTTGCAGTGAGCTGAGATCGCGCCACTTCATTCCAGTCTGGGTGACAGAGTGAGACTTCATCTCAGAAAGAAAGAAAAAGAAAGAAAGAAAGAAAGAAAAAGAAAGAAAGAAAGAAAGAAGGAAGGAAGGAAGGAAGGAAGGAAGGAAGGAAGGAAGGAAGGAAAGAAAGAAAAGAAAGAAAGAAAGAAAGAGAAAGAAAGAATCAAATGGCTGATGATCTGTTACTGTCTCCCATCATCCCAAGATGGGACCATCTAATGCAGGAAAACAAACTCGGGGCTCCCACTGATTCTGCATTATGGCGAGTTATATAATTATTTCATTGTGTATTACAATGTAATAATAATATAAGTAAAGTGCACGATAAATGGCATATGCTTGAATTATCCAGAAACTATCCCCTGTCCTCCTGGGTCCATGGAAAAATTGTCTTCCGTGAAACTGGTCCCTGGTGCCGAAAGGCTAGGGACCATGGCAGGTGCAAGGGGAAGCTTGTTCTAGGACCTGGTTCTGGCCTTCTGGACCCCTGCCCCGTCCTGGAGGTGCACTGTGGGAGGCAGGCATCATGGGGGACTGACCTCCGCCAGTTCTCTGAGCAGCTCCGTGACCTCTCCCAGCTGCGCCGCCTTGACAGGTCCTGGGACCCCGCCAAGCTGGAAAAAACGGAATCCCTTTCTGCTCCTTCATCTGGGAGGTGGCTGTTAGGGGCCTCCCCAGGCTGGCTGTGGGAAGGGGCCCCAATGCCCAGGTCCTGCAGATACTCGCTGCCCTGAAGGGCTCCCAGATCCAGGTTGAGGTCCTCCGCACTCTCGCTGAGCCGCCTGGGAAAATCATCCTCCTGTAGGATGGGGAAGGAGGGATAAGAAGACATTGATCAATGGGTGGCAGAGCTTGGGGTCTCTTGACCACGAGGTCCCTGCTCCCAACATCAAGACCCCCACCTGTGCGTCTTGGGCTCAGTGCCCTTCTCCCAGTGGGTGGGATGGAATGGGAGGGAGGAGTCCCCAGTGCTCTGTCCAACTTGGATCAAGGCCTCATCCCTGCAAAAGGACCAGAAGTCTGGTCTTCCATGCCAGATCCCTCTACTTCTAACCTTGGCAAAGCACTGCGTGTCACTGAGTTTCCATCTGATTATCTTTTTTGTTTTTTTTTTTTGAGACATAGTCTCACTCTGTTGACCAGGCTGGAATTGGAATACAGTGGTGCAATCTCGGCTCACATTGCAATCTCCGACTCCTGGGTTCAAGCAATCATCCTGCCTCAGCCTCCTGGGTAGCTAAGACTACAGGTGCCCACCAGCATGCCCAGCTAATTTTTTTTTTGTATTTTTAATAGAGATGGGGTTTCACTATGTTGGCCAGGCTGGTCTCAAACTCCTGATGTCAAGTGATCCTCCTGCCTTGGCCTCCCAAAGTGCTGGGATTACAGGCGTGAGCCACCGCACCCAGCCCATCTGATCATTTAATGAAATGGGCGTAACCACCTCTGCCCTGCCTGCCCACCAGCTTGTTTTAAGGCTCACAAAGGGGTCCAGATAAGGTGGCTCATACCTGCAATCCTAATGCTGTGGGAAGCCAGGAGTTTGAGATCGCTTGAGGCCAGGAGTTTGAGACTAATCTGGGCAACATATCAAGACTCCATCTCTACAAAAAAATTTAGGCTGGGTGTGGTGGTGCATGCCTGTAATCCCAGCACTTTGGGAGGCCAAGATGGGTGGATCACAAGATCAAGAGATCAAGACCATCCTGACCAACGTGGTGAAACCCCATCGCTACTAAAAATACACAAATTAGCTGGGCCTGGTGACTCATGCCTGTAGTCCCAGCTATTCAGGAGGCTGAGGCAGGAGAATCTCTTGAACCTGGTAAGTGGAGGTTACAGTGAGCCGAGATCATGACACTGCACTCTAGCCTGGTGACAGCAAGACTCCGTCTAAAAAAAAAAATTTTTTTTTTTAAATTAGCTGAGCCTGGTGATGTGTGCCTGTTGTCCCAGCTACTCAGGAGGCTAACGAGGGAGGATCACTTGAATCCAGCAGTTTGAGGCTGTACTGAGCTATGATCGTGCCACTGCACTCCAGCCTGGGCAACAAAGCGAGACCCTGTCTATAAAATGATAATAATAATAAGGCTCACAAAATAGTACATCTGTTTATTTGCAAAATCGCCACATGGAGGTAAGTTACACTTGATGCTAGCGGTGCAATTTCAGGGAGTTTCAGGGATTGTAATCTTACCCCTGTGCTGCTTGGAGTATCTCCTCGAAGATCTCCTGAACCCTTTTTTTCGGGGTGGGGGAGGAGTCTCGCACTGTCACCGGGCTGGAGTACAAGTGCAATGGTGCGATCTTGGCTCACTGCAACCTCCGCCTCCCGATTTCAAGCAATTCTCCTGCCTTAGCCTCCTGAGTAGCTGGGATTACAGGTGCCCACCACCACGCCTGGCTAATTTTTGTATTTTTAGTAGAGAAGGGGTTTCAGTATGTTGGCCAGGCTCGAACTCCCGATCTCATGATCCGCCCACCTCAGCCCTCCAAAGTGCTGATACTACAGGCGTGAGCCACCATAGCTGGCTTAACTTTGAAAAATGCTGCACAGGAATATTATTTATCTTTTTGTTTGTTTGTTTTGAGACAGAGTGTCACTTTGTTGCCCAGGTTGGAGTGCAGTGGCACAATCTCACCTCACTGCAACCTCCACCTCCTCAGTTCAAGTGATTCTCCTGCCTCAGCCTCCCAAGTAGCTGGGATTATAGGTGCACACCACCATGCCTGGCAAATTTTTGTATTTTTTTAGTAGAAATGGGGTTTCCCCATGTTGGCCAGGCTGGTCTCAAACGCCTGACCTCAAGTTATCCACCCTCCTTGGCCTTCCGAAATGCTGGGATTACAGGTATGAGCCACTGTCCCTGGCCTGAATACTATTTATCCTAATGACTTTTTAAAGCATCTACTTAAATTTTGTGTCCAAGGCAAGTGTCTCACCCTTATCCTGGCTTGGGAGGGAGACTCCCTCCTCAGCCTCCTGAGTAGCTGGGATTACAGGTGCCTGCCACAACACCAAGCTAGTTTTTGCATTTTTAGTAGAGACATGGTCTTTTACCATGTTGGCCAGGCTGATCTCAAACTCCTGACCTCAGGTAATTCACCTGCCTCAGCCTCCCAAAGTGCTGGGACTACAGGCATGAGCCACCACATCTGGTGAATTTTTATATATATATATTTTTTTTAGCAGAGAGGGGATTTCATGATGTTGGCCAGGATGGTTTTGAACTCCTGACCTCAAGTGATCTGCCAGCCTCAGTCTCCCAAAGTGTTGAGGTTACAGGCGTTAGCGCCTGGGCCCATATCTTAACCTTTTTTTTTTTTTTTTTTTTTTTTTTTTTGAGGCAGATTCTTGCTCTGTTGCCCAGGCTGGAGTGCAGTAGTGCGATCTCAGCTCACTGCAACCTCTGCTTCCCTGGTTCAAGTGATTCTCCTGCCTCAGCTTCCTGAGTAGCTGGGATTACAGATGTGAGCCACCACGCCCAGCTAATTTTTCTATTTTTAGTAGAGATAGGGTTTCACCATGTTGGTCAGGCTGGTCTCCAACTCCTGAACTCTGCCTCCCAAAGTGTTGGGATTACAGGTGTGAGCCACCATGCCTGGGCCCACATCTTAACCATTTTTAAGCATCCAGTTCAGCATCATTAAGCACACTCCCATTGCTGTGAAACCATCATCTCCATCTATCTCCAGAACTTCTCATCTTCCCAAACTAAAATTCTGTGCCCATGAAACACTCCCTCCTCACTCCCCTCCACAGCCCCTGCGGCTTTCCACCCTTCTACTTTCTGTCTCCATGAACTGCCCTGGAATCCTACCAATTTTGGAGGATCGCTTGAGCCCAGGAGTTTGAGACCAGCCTGGACAACATAGCAAGACCACAACATTTATAAAGTGAGCTGGGCATGGTGGCATGTTCCTGTAGTCCCAGCTACTTGGGAGGCTGAGGTGGGAGGATCACTGGATACTGGGAGGTTGAAGCTACAGTGAGCTGTGATCATGCTATTGCACTCCAGACTGGGGAACAGAGCAAAACCCTGTCTCCAAAAAAAAAAAAAAAAAAAAAGTGTCAGGGCGGTGGGGAGTAAATCTATGAACCTGACAAGTCCAGAGGCCTCCTACGAGTGGAATCTGACAGTGTTTGTCCTTTTACGTCTGGTTCATTTCACAAGCATAACGTCCGCAAGGTTCCACCACATTGCAGCACGTGTCAGAATTTCCTTTCTTTTTAAGGAAGGATTATATTCCATTGTATGGATGGACCACATCACATTTACTCATTGTGGGAAGTAGAAAAGTTCCTTTTAAGTGTGTAATAACTTTGTGAAGCCCCATCCTGTGTAGCTGTTAGACACGCCATGCTTACAGGCACGTAGTACACTCTCTGTCTTTGTACTTTAACCAAGATCTCTGTGCTGGACGTGGCTCATGGGCATGTCCCAGCTCTTCATTGTTTTTACCTGTTTAGAAAAGTTTTAATTATTAGCCAATTGGGTTTTAGTTTAGATTGTGAGGTCTGGCTCCAGCCAACGGAGATCAGACACAGCAGTAAAAACAACCCCAGATGTGTAAGGAATAAATTTGTGTGTTTTCCTTTGTTCATTGTACTCTTGTGGCAAGATGGCTAGCAAGAGTACCCTTCCTGCAGTCCAGGAAGTAAAAATTGTGTTGCTAAAAAGTCCTTTGTCTCAGTGCTGATTTTTCTTTGCAGCACCAAACATCTATTTCCATCCATCAACAGACACCTGGGCTCTTTCCATCTGTTGGCTCTTGTGAATAACGCTGCTATGAACATTGGTGTGCAAATGTCTGTGAGTGCCTGCTCTCAGTTCTTCCAGGAAGATACCCAGAAGTGGAATTGCTGGATCATATGGTAATTTTATTTTTATATTTATGTTATACTATCTTTTTGTTTTGAGACAGAGTCTCACTCTGTCGCCCTGGCTGGAGTGCAGCGGTGCCATCTCAGCTCACTGCAACCTCTGCTTACTGGATTCAAGTGATTCTCGTGCCTTGGCCTCTCTACTAGCAGGGATTGCAGGCATGCACTGTGATGCCTGGCTAATTTTTGTATTTTTAGTAGAGATGGGGTTTCATCATGTTGCCCAGGCTGGTCTCAAACACCTGACCTCAGGTGATCCTCCTTCCTCGGCCTTCCTGGGATTACAGACTGGGATTACAGGCGTGAGCCACTGAGCCCAATTTACATTTATTTATTTATTTATAACGGAGTTTCCTTCTTCTTGCCCAGGCTGGAGTGCAATGGTGTGATCTTGGCTCACTGCAACCTCTGCTTCTTGGGTTCAAGTGATTCTCCTGCCTCAGCCTCCTAAGTAGCTGGGATTACAGGTACGTACCACCATGCCCAGCTAATTTTTGAATTTTTAGTAGAGATGGGGTTTCACCATGTTGGCCAGGATGATCTTAAACACTGAACCTCAGGGGATTCTCCCCAACTTGGCCTCCCAAAGTGTTGGGATTACAGGCACGAGCCACCGTGCCCAACCTATTTTATCTGCTTTTTTGAGATAGCATCTCGCTCTGTCACCCAGGCTGGGTGCAGCGGCACGATTGCATTGCAATTGTGGGTTTCACTTTCCCAGCACTCACTCCACTGCTTCACGGCCTGCCTTCTTGAATCTCTCCTTTGCGGCCACCGTCCTTGTCTCCCTCCCTCCTCCCTGGTGACTCCTCCTCTGCCTCCTCTTCCTCCCTCTGCCTTTTGATCACGAAGGTCCCCCTTTTCCAGCCTCTTTCTAAAGAGCCACAGCTCCAGCTCTGGCTGGCCCTCACGTGACTTGGGCGGCAGCCTCCTTTCAAATTCCCCCCTTACCCCCCAGATGGTTCCATTCCTACGCCCGGTGCCTGGACAAGCTCCTACTCTTTTCTGTCACTGCCTCTGAAAGTTTTTTTGTGTCTCTGGTTTTCATCCGCCTATAAATATAAACACGTTGAGACAGCCTCTTGGCCTGGCCGGCCCTCCTTCTTGCTCCTGCATCTGGCCTCCCTCAGAGGAGGCAGAGGTGGGAGCCAGGCCAAAGATGGGGTGGAACAGGGCAGTGGGTAACCGCACAGTGCAGGCTGTTCCAGCTCCCACTGGCAGGTACACTGAGGGAGGGAGACAGGGGTGTCTCATCTTTCATCTCTGAGCCTGCACCTTTCCTCTGACATATCTTGGGCAAGAAAAGATGAGAGGCAGCCCAGTGGGGGCCTTTCCAGGCATCTGAGTAAACATCGAATGCTGCCCCACTGGCCCTGACGCTCCAGAGAGGATGCTACAAATCCAAGCTCCTGCTCACTAGACCCAGGGGGAGCTTTGGGGGATGGGATCCCCCATCAAACCCAGAGGCGAAACAGCCCAGGGCTCCCCATTCTTTGGAAGGGCTCACCATGCACAGTTTCTCCTAGTACATGGATAAATGTTTATTTAAAAAATGTAAATAGTTACTGATCTTGTTGTCTATTGGCAAAGGAGATACACCAAAGCAGTTTCAAGCATGTGTCCCTGATCCCATTTTGTCATGTAAAAAAGTGGCAGATTTTAAACAAAGTAACAACTAAATCATAAAGCAGATCGTTTTCTCCTTCCCCCTTCCCTCCTTCCTCCCTCCCTCCCTCCCTTCCTTCTTCCCTCCTTCCCTTTCTTCTTTCCTTTTATTCATCAATTATTCATGTATCCATCCACCCATATTTTTCATCTTCCTTCCTTCCTTCTACCCACCTTTCTCCTCATTCATTCAACCATCCCTCCATCCTTCCTTTCATCCATCCAACCTTTTAACATCCAACCATATTTCCTTCTTTCCTTCATTCATCCATCCTCCTTCCTTCCGTCAACCCACCCAGCTATCCATCTAGATTCCTTCTTTTTATTCATCCGTCACTCATGTATCCATCCACCCACAGTTTTACAACCTTTCCTTCCTTCCTTTTAGTCATCCATGATCCATTCATCCACCCGACCACCCTTCTATTCATCCATGCATCCATCTGTGCATTCATCCATTCATCCACCCATCCTTCCTTCCTTCTACTAATCTTTCCTTGATTTCCTTTTTCCTTCCATCTACCCAGCCATCCATTCATCCCTCTATTGTTCCTTTCCTCCCTCTTCTTCTTCTGGAACAGATTCTGGTTTCCTCATCTGTAAAACAGGATAATAATGACTTTGTACGTTTCGATGAGGGTTCCCTGAGATAATGTACAAAAAGTGCCTGGGAAAATGCACAGGCTAAACAAGGGGGACTTGCTGCCTCTGCTGTCACCAGCTCCCGCCCATCTCAGCAGTCAGACACATGCCTGATCATCCCCCATGGCAGAGAAGAGGTCTGGGTTCTCAGGTTTCCAGGATCCGCTGCTGCTCTTGGTGGCCGAAGCCACAGCTCCAGAGTCAAAGGTCTGGATACATGACTTGGGCTCAGAGCCTGTGGGGAAAGGACAAACAAGGTGTCAGGGATAGGCTGGGAGGGCTGAGGGAGCCAGGACCTGGCTTCTGCATCTGTTACTGCTTATTCCCGAGTAGCGGGGATTACAGGTGCACGCCACTGCACCTGGCTACGTTTGTATTTTTAGTAGAGTCATGGTTTCATCATGTTGGCCAGGCTGGTTTTGAACTCTTGACCTCAGGTGATCTGCCCGCCTCAGCCTCCCAAAGTGCTGGGATTACAGGCATGAGCCACTGCACCTGGCTGCCTTCTTCTTTTTTAAATTAAAAACTACTTTTTAAAATAAGCTTATTTCTCTCTCTTTTTTTCCCTTAGAGATGAGGTCTCACAATGTTGCCCAGGTTGGTCTCAAACTCCTGAGCTCAAGTGATCCTCCTGCCTCAGCCTCCTAAAGTGCCAGGATTACAGGTGCGAGCCACCACACCCAGCCCTAATGCCCATATTTGTAGGAGAGTCTCTCACAGTGGAGCTTGAGGCTGCCTCTTCTTTTGGGGGTGAGGAGTGAGAAGCAGAGAGCTGAGAGTTGAGCCCCCCAGGAGCCACATGCCCCAGGATCTACCTGCAGATGGAAATGGATAAGTCCCAAGAAGCTCAGCTCCAAAGCAATGACAAATTCCAGTCCATATCCCTTGCCCACGAAGCATTTCATATAAATGGAATGATATAATATGTGGCCTTTTGTGGCTTGTTGCTTTGACCTGACGTATCTTTTGAGTTTTGCCTATAATGTAGCATGTGTCGGTGCTTCATTTGTTTTAGGGCTGGATGCTATTCAATTGTATGGAGATACCACATTTTTTCTGCTGATGGACACTCAGGCTGTTTCCACCGTTGGGTTACTCTGAATCATGCGGCCATGAATCATCTGTACAGGTGTTTGCCTTGATGTGTGTTTGCCATTGTCTTGGGTAGTTAACCCAGGAAGGGAATTGCTGGAGCACATGCTCATCTGTGCTTCCCTTTTTGAGGAACTGCTGTTATGCAAGCTCTTCTCTGAGACAGTCTCGTTGTGTCACCCTGGCTGGAGTGCAGTGGCACCATCCCAGCTCACCGCAACCTCCGCCCCGCCCCGGGCAAGTGATTCTCTTGCCTCAGCCTGACGAGTAGCTGGGACTACAGGCCTGCACCGCCACAACTAGCTAATCTTTGTATTTTTATTTATTTCTTTATTTTCTTTCTTTCTTTCTTTCTTTTTTGGAGATATCTGTTGCCCAGGCTGGAGTGCAATGGCATGATCTCAGCTCACTGCAACCTCCACCTCCTGGGTACAAGTGATTCTCCTGCCTCAGCCTCCCGAGTAGCTGGGATTACATGGGCCCACCATCACTCCTAGCTAATTTTTGTATTTTTAGTAGAGACAGGGTTTCACCATGTTGGTCAGGCTGATCTCAAACTCCTGACCTTGTGATCTGCCTGTCTTGGCCTCCCAAAGTGCTAGGATTACAGGCGTGAGCCACTATGCCCAGCTAATTTTAGTACTTTTAGGAGAGAGAGGGTCTTGCAATGTTGGCCAGGCTGGTCTCAAACTCCTGACCTCAGGTGATCCTCCCAAAGTGCTGAGATTACAGGCATGAGCCACCATGCCTGGCTGAGTTTTGTTTTTATAGGGAAGCTTCTGACCCAGGAACAGGTTGAACTTGACCTGATGATGAACTCAACTCTAATTCTAGTTTCCAATGACTGAATCAACTCTGACTGTAGTTTTACAGATTGAACCCCAGTCTTTGTGTCACAGACTGAGCCTTGATCCTAGTGCCATATACTAAGCCTTGATCCCGATGTCACAGACTGAACCTCATCTGGCTGTCATTGGTTGAGCACCCATTCTTGGATCATAGACTGAACCCCCATCCTAGCGTCATAGACTAAGCCTTTATCCTGGTGTCATATATTGACCCCTGATTCCAGTGTCATAGGCTAAGCCCTAATCCTGATGTCACGGTCTTCAAAGTCTTAGCTCTTAGGCTGGTATCATAGACTGAACCCCCATCCTAGCGTCATAGACTAAGCCTTTATCCTGGTGTCATATATTGACCCCTGATTCCAGTGTCATAGGCTAAGCCCTAATCCTGATGTCACGGTCTTCACAGTCTTAGCTCTTAGGCTGGTATCATAGGCTGAACCCCCATCCTAGCATCATAGACTAAGCCTTTATCCTGGTGTCATATATTGACCCCTGATTCCAGTGTCATAGGCTAAGCCCTAATCCTGATGTCACGGTCTTCACAGTCTTAGCTCTTAGGCTGGTATCATAGACTGAATCTTGATCTGACATCATAAACTGAGCCCAATCCTGGTGTCATAGGCTGAGTCCTGATTCTGATATCATGAGCTAAGCCTTAATCCTATTGTCATAGACTGAGCTCTGCCAATTACCAACCACAATTCCCCCAAACGATTGCCAATCACATTTGTCACTGACCCTCAGTGACCCTCAGGTTTATAGAAATTCCCTTTCTGTATAAACGAGTTTAGAGAGGTGCACTGCCTTTACCGAGGTCATGCCAATCTAGTATGAGGTAGAGCTGGGAGTCAAATTCGGGTATTTCTGAATTCAAAACAAGGACTCACAATCACCAGACTATCCTGTGCTGTGTTGGGCTGGGCACAGAAATTTGCTGGTGAATGGATAAATGGGTAGGTAAATAGATGGATGGATGGATGGATGAGTGGATGGTTGAATGGATGAGTGGGTATGTGGATGGCCAGATGGATAAATGAGTGGATGGATGGATGGATGGATGGATGAATGGTTGGATAGGTGGATGTGTGGGTAGGTGGATGGATGAATGAGTAGATAATTGGATGAATGGGTAGATGGATGAATGGATGTTTGAATGGATGATGGCTGGATGGATGGATGGAATAGTAGATTGATGGATGAATGGATGGATGGTCAGATGGTTGAAGAGTTGGCTGATAGGCTGGTTGGCTGGATAGATAGTTGGATGGCTGCACGGTTGCATGGATGAATGAGTAGATAGTGGGATGGATAGGTTATATGGCAGCGTTCAGAGGCAGTGATGCATTACACTCAGGAAATGGCATTCTGAGGGGGGAGGAAAGAGATGTAGAAGGAAGAGGGACAGAACTGCAGAAGAAAAGCCACACAGGAAGAAAACCTAGGTGAGAGAGGCACAGACCGCACTCACCAGACATGCACCAATAGACTGAGGAATGAATGAAAAAGCATGAGCAGAATGAGTAATAGGAGCAGTTGATGGGGAAGGGGCACTGGGATCCTTCACTGAAAGTCTCAGTTCACCCCTCCCAAGCCTTACTTGCCTCTCCAAGTGCAGCCCCACCCTTTTCCCAGGAAATTCCTATTAGGTGCCCAGACAGCCAATTACAGAACTTAAGAGGGTGACAAAAAGGCCGTTCTTTCCTGCTCTCCAGTGTTAAAGGCAGGAGACACACTATTAGGGAGTCACTCTCCCAGGGGAGCTAAGCTAGAGGAGACATGAGGCCTCAGGGAAAGGGGATCTGCTGGGGATGCACGCTGCTCCCCAACCCCTGCTCGTCTCCATGGGGCTGTCCATCAGCTGGGATTCAGGTCCCAGACAGCTTCCTCCACCACCGGCCCCCGTAGCATCAGCCATAAAAGGGTGTAAGAGTCACTGTCAGTTCTCACCACTCACTCCCTGACCTGCTCGCATATAAATTGCAGCCTCAATGGCTTGGGGCAGAGAGACAGGGTGAGCTGAGTAACCACAAGAGGGCAGACATCATTGGGACCTGGGTCACAGGCGGACACATTGGTGATCCCTGGTGGGTACACTGATGCTTCAGGATTGCCATCCACCACTGGATCTAAAAACCCTCCCCAGGCACTCCAGCAGCCCACACTGGCAGTTTTGTTCATCGATCAGAACGCATCAAAGTGGCCTCAGACAGAATTGGCTTCAAATCCTGGTTCCTCCAGGGTGTACTTGCTGTGTGACTTTGAGTAAGTCACTCAGCGTCTCTGAGCCCAACTTCATGAGGGCTCAACAGCTAGCAACAACTTCTATCATGATGATTACTCTTCAGTAGCATCCAAGTTCCCAGGCCATCCTCTCTCCCCCAACCCCAGCCCCTGGGACCCCTGACACTCCCAGCTGCTCCCTGACCCCAGCACTCTGTTCACCATGAGCCTTCAAGGAGAGGGATGAATGAGCTAATGAATCTTCACATTGGCCCCCTCCTTCACGAAAACTCACTGCTACCTTGAACAAGTACTTGGCTCACGCAGGTGTTGGTGACTGTGACTAACAAGTCATGCAGGCTGACCAGGAGGGGCTCAGACGGGCAGTGGGGAATGGGGAATGAGGAAGCCCACAACGCAGTGAGGGCATGACCAGCTCTTCTGACATTGTCCGGCACTGCCCTCTCAGGCCCTGCATACCTGGACATCTGGCTATCTTCAAGGGCTAAACTCCTTAACTTTAAGAAGTATCTGATGGCTGGGTGCGGTGGCTCACGCCTGTAATCCCAGCACTTTGGGAGGCTGAAGTGGGCAGATCACAAGGTCAGGAGGTCAAGACCAACCTGGCCAACATAGTGAAACCCCATCTCTACTAAAAATGTAAAAATTAGCCAGGTGTGGTGGCAGGTGCCTGTAATCCCAGCTACCCAGGAGGCTGAGGCAGGAGAATCACTTGAACCTGGGAGGCGGAAGGTTGCAGTGAGCTGAGACAGCGCCATTGCACTCCAGACTGGGCGACAGAGTGAGACTGGGTCTCAAAACAAACAAACAAAAAATAACAAAGAAAAAGTGTCTCTTTGCAATAACGGTTCACCCACACCTTTGATAATAAAATACAGGGTGTTCCCCATCCCCATAACGATCAACTGAGGCCCGGGGGCCCTGGGGGTTGAGAGAGCGTGCACTGGCCGGTGTGTGTGTGTGTGTGTGTGTGTGTGTGTGTGTTTGAGGGAGGTGTGTGCCTGAGAGCCTCTAATCCCCTTGTTTTTGTTTCTGCCCTGAGTTGCCTGTCCTG